ATTTAAATACTTTGCCATGGCAACAGGCTCTATGATTAGGGGCAAATAGGCAAAACTGCTGCAGCACTTGAGATTGAGATGATACAAATTAAGGGAACTCTGGACGGTTGCCAAGGAGACGAAATAGGCAGAGAGGTTAAAGTCCAACCTAAACACACCTTAAAGCTATTTTAGTGACAGCAGAGCAGAGAGTGGGTGGGGGGAAGGGAGGACGGAGCAAGGGGAGAGGAGGAGGGGGGGTTTCTGACAGTCGAGCTCCACAAATAATCACTAGACCTGCCGAGGTGTGTGATCAGAGTTCAAAATCCCTCCATATGTGTGTGTGTGTGTGTGTGTTGACTTGTGGTTGTGTGTGCCTTTCATTGTTCAGTGGTTTCATGTGTCCCAGCGGCCTCTCACACCTCTGCTCGGCGAAATCACAAAAGAAAAAGAAAAGGCCTTTAATCCAGTTGAATTTCATGCATTTTCTTTATTGTTCCTTCGTGGATTCATTTCCATTTTAAAAGCCCAAATACTGCTTGTTTCCCAGCACATGACATGATCATCTGGCAACAAATTCATCAATAACGACAAAAGTGACATTATGGCTTTGTGACAACAGCGGGCCTCACAGGTTTACAGTGTTCAGATGCTTCTTCAGTGTTTAAAGGTGCCAAACCGGGGACAAAGCCCCGTGTGAAACATACAATGTGTGTCAGAGGGTTTGTTCAAAAGGTCCCACACTATCTAGATTTTATTTACCGGGATATTTTAGAGGTTCAGAGAGAGTTCAGTTTTCCACTCTGTCTCAACTGTAGGTGAGCAATAGCTTTACTTTTAACCAAACAATGTTTCAAGCCAAATTCAAGTTTCTGAAATCGCCTTTGAAGCGGAAATGTCTCGATAAGACGTTGGTGATATATGACACCTGAGTCAGCTGCACACGCTGAATGAAGACTGTGAGATGTGTTTGAAAGCTCTGGAAACTCATCAGTGGACCTTTTGATCTCAGATTGTCTGTACCGTACTGTGAACTTACTCAGTTTAAAAATATTATATATATATATATATAAAAAATGCATCATGTAGACCAGTGGTCCCCCAACCTTTTTCCTTAAGCTCCTATCACTGAGTTAACTGACGAACCGAGTACGTGATGTATTTTATGTATATTTCATATTCTATTCAATGTATAACAATAACAGTAGAGAACAGCTGATAAACTGTACAATGAACACAAACAGTGAACACAATAACTGCAGGAAGTTTGTGTAAACGAGAGATTTGG